ATGCTGCCACACCATTTCACATCCGTGACAGTGCTGCTGATTCCGTGGAAAGACTGATCTATCTAACAAACACATTCAATTTTGCAGTCCTTATACATGATGTTGTGTTACCAGAAGAAGCAAAACCAATGTTTAAAGTAAGCCCCATTTCGGTGGATGTTTTTGCCTGATAGCAAATGTTTAAATGTGCTGCACTTTGTTAAATTGTGACACTGATCTTCGTTGTTCACTGATCTAGGTCCAGAACTTCAGTAAACCAGTCTTAATTCCGCCTAATGAATCCAGATATATTTTTACACTTTGTTTTATGCCTTCCACATCATCTGTTCACATAGACAATAATATTTTACTTATCACCAATGCTTCTAAATTTCACCTACCTGTTCGAGCATACACAGGATTTTTAGATGTAAGTATTTTCCTTTTTTTTAGCTACTTTAGTCTAATTAGAGGCAGACTTCATAGGACTGTTTTAATTCTTGATTCTACTTCTATGGGAGGATGGCTTTTTTTAAAATTCAAAATGATTTTACCAGTTCTTTCTGAGGTTACTGCTGAAAAATTCTTTTTTGTTCCTTTTAGTTTTAGATAGAATTTCGAGATGGTACTGCTGTACTAGACTTATTAATGCATCTGTTAATGAGCTTAGAGTTTAAGCACATTTTCTATTTAACTTATGCTAAAATACCTTTATCAATCTTTCTAGTACTTTGTACTGCCTCCAAAAACTGAGGAACGATTTATAGATTTTGGCATATTGAGTGCAACAGAAGCTACCAGCATGTTATTTGCAGTTATCAACAGCAATCCGATAGAGGTAAGGATGGATTTATTTTTAGTTTGCCTTTTGAAAAACTTTACGTCAGTGTTGTTACTGAAAACAGTATCTTTTGTTCTTTTTAAGCTGGCTGTAAAAAGTTGGCATATTATAGGGGATGGTTTGGCCATAGAACTTCTAACAACTGAAAAGGGAAACAGAACAACAATAATTGCAAACCGTCATGAACTACAAAATACTAGTGCATCCGATCAGTCTTCAGTAAGTAATCCTTTGAATTCCTTTGAATCCATTGCTTAAAGCTAGGTTTCGGAGGAAAAAGGAGACAAATCTGTGCAACTTCTTGCAGTTTCATTTTAGCAGGCAGAGGGAGGATAAGAATTCTTAATTTTTGTCTGAATTTGAGTATGATAAAACATGCAGAATTTTTTTAGTTTATTGTAAGAAGCAGGATTATGTTCAGATTGGTTAGATTTTGAAACGGGAAGCTTCAGAAGCAGCAACCTCCATGCTCTCAGATGATACTCATCATTTATCTGGGAAGAATGGAATTTATCACCTCAAGGAATAGATAATTTTTGTGTTACTAAGTTATGTGTTTGAATTTTTCTTTTTACCACTGGCAGTTGTTTCAAATGGATTTTGATTCAGTTTAAAGAAATAAGAGGACGTTGGGTATGTTTTTTTATATTTCTTTCCATTTAATGGAATACAATGGATGACTTTTTCTGCCATTTACAGGTGATACTAGCATCGGGTTATTATGCTGTGTTTAGAGTAAAACTGGTAGCAAAAGAACTTGAAGGAATTCATGATGGAGCTGTGCAAATCACGACAGATTATGAGGTATATTTATTGTATATTCATGGGTGTTGCCCAAACGATAAGTTCCATTTTTAAGTATGAAGTTTTAAGAGTTGTATTAGTGGACAGATTGCAGTATTAGGGAGAAGTTGAGATTGGAAGGGACCTCTGGAGTTCAAGTTATCTCTGCAAGTTAACCCTGCATCAAACGACAGTAATGCTACTTATGCTGTTTCTTCTCTGAAGGAATGAAGAATGACTTTCATTATGATTTTCATCTGGCTTTCAGAAATATCCATTTAAATCTGACCTAATGCTTTGAGGTATGGGTTCTTCAATGACTTGACACATTCTCAAAGCATCAATGCATGGATCTTTTGGCATAACACATGCTGACAGCGTGCTTTTTGGTACGTTATCAGTTACTGAAATTGAGCTGTAATTTCAGAGGGTTTTTTGTCAAAACCCAATGTGAAAGTTGTTTTGGAGAAATTGCAGTTTGCCGACAGTTGATGAAACAGACTTCTTACACTAAGATTAGTAAGGGAGAGAGGAACAACCAGTTAATTCTCAACTTCATATGCCTTTCCAGTTAATAAATTATTTTAGAGAGATTCTAGATCTCTAAAAGAGAGACATTCTAATACATGATGGAATCTGTATTTAATATCTTTGGGTGATATATGTAGGAAAAAAAATGTGACACACTGTGCTTTTGAAGTCAGGAAATTTTATAGCTTATTGGATGGTTCTGATGAAGCTACAGAAAATGGGTAATTCCTAATTTCTGCCAGTTGTCTGAGATTTTAAGCTTTTTTTTTTTAATATGTCCATACATGTATGTGACCCTTCAGTTACAGAATCTGAAGCATTTTATTTTCTTGCTTGTTCTTACAAGTTATTCTACTTATATTGGTAGGTTTAATAATATACAGAAAGGATCTCATTGCCATCCCTTCCAAATTCCTTTTTCTAAGTCTACGTCTATCTCAAGGTCTTACCATAACTTCTGATGTGTTTTGAGAAGTTCAGTATATCCTCTTCCCTCATGCTCATTCACTTTAAAGATGTTATTCTCCTGTTTTCCAACAAAGTAAGCCCCATTCAAGTGAGACCTATGTAATGCCCCATTGGAGAGCTTATATTTTAACTGTGACTTTGTGTTCCATGTAGAATGGTGCTAAGTATGACTGAGCAAAGGAGTGCTTCCTGACAATATGGAGTGACTGTTCTGAATATGATGATGTGTTGAAATCTTAATTCATGTCTCCATGTTTTAAATGTGTATATAAACCTAGGCTACGTTAATTGTACAACTTCAGGGTTTTGTTACTCTATGCAATTTATAAGTGGAAGAGACATTTAAAGGCTGAAATGTAAGGGTTTTTTTCTAAAGTTTTCTTGGGTTTTTTTCCAGATTTTAACTATACCTGTGAAGGCAGTGATTGCTGTAGGCTCGCTGACCTGCTCCCCAAAACATGTTTTTCTTCCACCTTCATTTCCGGTAAGAGGGTAGGGTCATAGCATTAAATGGGTTTTTTGCTGTGTGTTTTATTTATCTGTCCTTTTTAAGAGAAACCACTGTCTTGAATTGGTGCATGTCAAATTGCTGGAGAGATTGTGCTACTGAACTGTTGTGGTTCAGTTTGTCACTATTTTTTGTTCTCCCCCCCAAAAACGTGTCCCAGGCATGAGTTATCCCTACATCTCCTCTACTACCCACTTGAATGGGATCTTGGAATACTGATATGATCCCAAACCTCATTCTTTGGAGCTTCATTGTAATGTAGCTGTGGTCATTTGGTTATTACCAATTCACGTGCGTTGGCACCAAGAGTAAGAGATGAAATTGCACAAATGCATTTTTCAAATTCCTGAAGTGTAATACCAAAGACAACAAAGCCAGCTAATAAACTGATGTTTTAGTATAAGAAGTCCTTGATCTCTGTGGAAGCATTATTGTATTGTTCCCACACTGAAAGTTGATCTTCTTGAGGTTGCATGGTAGAGTACATGAACAGGAAAGCGAGAAAGCTGTGTGGGTCTAAAGCTCTCTGCAAAAGTATGTAATGGCTGTTTTCATCCCCGCTCCTACAGTAGTGTTTATTCAGTGAGTGCTGAAAGCAGCTTCTTTTCGCAGGGCTACAGACTCAAGCAGCAAGCCTATTAACCAGATAATACTTTCTTCTCACTTGGCATTCAGCATAACCATAGAAGCATGGGCAGTCAAGGCATATTGACTTTGCAATTGGTATTTCATTGAAGTCTGAACTTTATGTGACTTTCTGATGAGTGGCGAATGTAATATGATGGAAAATGATGGAGAGGTTGAAAACTGGGGGGAAAAAGCAGCAAAAGGAGATAGAGATGGCAGTTTTCTGAATGGATAAAACTAACTCCACGCATGTTGGTGGAAATGGTTTTTGTTTTCTTGCCTGTCCTGCATAGGCTCAATCTGTCGTAGAGCACAGC